AATTGGGAATCAGGGTCGATATTTGAGTTAAAATTGTCAGTGGCGTTAAGAAAGGGAGAAAAACTTATGTTTGATAATCGGTCGGAATTCGAGGTGCTGCTACAAGAACTACAATTAAAATCGGACATGACAACAGAAAGTAACAAAAAAAAAAAAGGAAAAAGAAAACCACAAAAAAGGGGAGAAAATATTTTAAAACGAAGGTACCAAGAATGCTTAAAAAAGCTCAAAAAAAAGGATCAAAAATTGCATGAAAGCAGTATTTACCGTGAATATGGTATACCATTCTGATCATTAGAGACATATGATATCAAGATGGCAGGAGTAAAATATGTTAACCAAAGAAATAAAATTAATAAGTAATATAATAAAAAAAATATATAATGCACAGTAAAAAAAGGCATCAATGATACCACGAATCGGATTGGAATGTAAAAAATTATAATAACAATAAGAAGCAGCATCATTAATTAATAATAAAAACAATAGTAATTAACAACAACAAAAGCAATAAAAAATAATAACGATTAACAACAATGATTAAAAACAATATCGACAATTATTATCATCAACATCACCACCACCACCATCATACCATATTAACAGATAACAATAATGCAACCACAATAACTGAGAAAATTGAGAAAATTGAGAAAATTGATAGTAGCACAATGACAAAATAAGCAAACAGCAATAATACAATAATAGTCCAATACAAGAATAAATAATAATAATAATGAAATAATCATTATAATATTTATATATGTATTTTAATTTATAGGTTTTGTATTTTTATGTTGTTAATAGCTTTTTTCTTATCATTACATTCGAAAGTACTGCCCAGCTAACGGTTCATTATCAGTTGGGACATTATTTCGACAACTGATAGAAAAATAGACCTAGGTTGAGTAAATAACCACCAAAGTATATTGTTATACACAATATGCAGGTGACATAAAATTTAACACCAATATGCCATCTTTATTGAGAATATATTTACTGTACTGGTTCATTTTACATTTTTTTTCGTGTTACAAAATTTCCTAAACTATAGAGGGCGGCAGACCGATTTATTTACTTGTCATGTAACTCGCAACGACTCTCGTTTGAATAATATCGCACATACATTTGAAAATATATATAGGCCTACAGGTCTCCCTCTAAATTAAAGACCCCTTTAATTAAACACCACCTCTACTACTATTTTTCTGTGGTCCCATATTAACTAATGTATTTTATCGTTATTACTCTAATCAGAGACCAAAGCTGCTAAAGACCATGGAAACCCCAGTCAGAAAAATGGTCTTTAAGATGAAGAACGATTATTACACGACCTTTGAATAAGGAAAATTACCATTTATATTCTAATTCAACATTATAGCTTCTAACATTAATACTAATAAATTATCTTTATGGAGGCCTATGTTAATTGCACAATTGTAAGTAACCTACATTAACTATGAACAAAGTGAGGCGGATTGTGGACATTTTTTGTCGGGGTGGACTTTAACATCATCTAATGAATAAAGTAAAATAATTTACCAAGTTCAAACTTTATTTATAGAGCACAAAATCATGGTTAATAATTCATAGCTAAGTACATAAGGGCGTCTTCGAATCGAATAACACGTACAGAATTTTATCTATACATTGCTGTAAAATTTTCTTTAAATATCCTGTTTAATCTCTGCCATCGGCCTTTATTAACGTAAAGTACTGTCTTATTGTAACTTTTTCATCGTTCATACGAAGTATTTTGTTATCATCAATAAACTCTGTTTTCTATCGTGCATGCCGTTTCTTCTTAGGTGTGGGGAAATAAGATGTGTATAAGAGACAGGGGCAAGGCTAAGCCGGGAAAAGAAGATGGTGATCAGCAACCGGATAACGTGAGTAGGCCTACTGTGCCCGAGTTTGAATGTTTTGTAAGAAGTTCATTAAAATCCTTACTAGATGGACAAAGTTCCTTACGTGATAGTATTGCTAATCTTCAAAAACGACAAGACGTATTAGAAGATAAGTTGGCTGAATATGAAAGGAATGTTGGTGCATCAATTGAATTCCAGTCGGCCCGCACGTCGGTCATAGAAAAAAATATGTCGGCCATAGAAGATCAACATTCCTCGTTAGTAAAACAGGTTGATCAACATAGTAACGATCTGAGAGATTTACGGGAATCTGGGAAAAAATTAGAAAGGTATTCTCGTCGCCATAATTTACTTTTATGCAATTATGGTCCAGAAAAAGCAGACTAAGCACCAGAACAGATTGTGCATAATATCCTGAGAGAGAAATTAGGTCTAGACATTAAAGTTGAAGTCGCTCACCGTACTGGTAGACAGACTCAAAATAAAAAACAACATAGACCTATTATATTTAAGGTATTATCATTGCGGGAGAAAGACTCTATAATTAAAGCAAAGAGGAAGCTAGATGACGTTGCTTATTATATAAAACCTGATGAAATTGAATCTGACAGAAAGGAACGCATTAGACTGAAATAAGTAGCTGAAGCCGCATACAAAGCCGGCAAAAAGACAGTTTTCAGACGCGGTAAGCTGTTTATTGACAACAAGTTGTACACAGAGGACAGTGGCATTCATGATTAAAACAACGCCGGTTGCCGTCAATCATTGCGTATAGGATGTTGGAACATTGGGGGTTGGGTTGAAAGTAATCATATTCAAAGAGATATCATTGTAAAATGTGACTTTGATATTATGTGTATTGTAGAATCTCATTTGAAAGGAAAGGATGTTATAAATATTCCTAATTATAAATGGTATGGTCACAATAGATCATCGATTCATTATAGAGCAAAAAAGGGGTCTGGTGGAATTGGTATCCTTATTAATAAACGTATTTTGAGCTTATTTTCTGTTAAAATTGTAAAAAGTAATTTTGATGGCATTTTATGGCTGAAGTTATGTAACAAAAACCAAAATAATTGCTTTTTTGTATGTTGTTGCTACCTCCCGCCAGAAAATTCATGTCGTGGTGGTAATGCTGAAGAATTTTTTGATGCATTAATTTCAGATTTTTACACATTTAAGAATAAAGGTGCTCTACAGATCTGTGGTGATTTCAATGCTAGAATAGGTGATGACCTGGATTTTATCGAGGGCATAGACGATGTTAAACCTCGAAATGTTATTGATTTCCGTACAAATTCACAGGGTAAACCTTTCATTGACTTTTGTCTAAGTGCCAATATGTGTTGTCTAAATGGTAGAAATGATGACGTAACGGATAACTTTACATGCGTATCAACTAAAGGAAAATCGGTTGTAGATTACTGCTTAGTTGCCTACGATGAGTACTCATTATATTGTAGCCTGTCTCTTATACACATCTCTTGGGCGCAGATCGGAGTGGGGTGGATATGGGTTGCTTATTGTCCCCTGTACTTTTTAACATATTTATAAACTGCATTGTTGATGATTTAAAACAACTGAATTGTGGTATTCCATTACCTGATACAAATATTGACTTATTAATGTACGCCGATGATATTGTTATACTTGCTGAAAATGAAAACTCTCTCCAAAAAATGTTACATTGTGTCTCGGCTTGGTGTAAAAGGTGGCGAATCAGCTTGAACGAAGCCAAGACACAAATCGTTCATTTTCGTACTAAAAGCAGGGAAAAATCTAGCAAAAAGTTTGAATGTTGTAGTTTTAATATTGACATAGTTTCTGGCTATAAATACCTGGGTATTTGGTTTGATGAATTCCTTGATTATTATTTATCTGCCAAAAATCTGGCTGCATCTGCATCTCGTGCACTGGGATTCGTCATTAGTAAAGTTAAAGCCCTTGGGGGTATCAATTTTATTTCCTTTACCAAGATTTATGACTCTTTTGTTAGCCCAATATTGGATTACGGTAGCGGGGTCTGGGGTCTGTGTGAATATTCATCAATAAACTCTGTTTTCTATCGTGCATGCCGTTTCTTCTTAGGTGTGGGGAAATACACACCAAATGACGCAATGCTAGGCGACATGGGTTGGGACCCCCCTATCGTGCACCAGATGCAGGCTATAACCCGTTTATGGAGCCGTCTCTCAAAATTGGATGAAAACCGATATCCAAGTAAAGTTTTCCGTTGGTCACAACATTTGGCAGATAAGAATATAAAAAATTGGTGCTATAATGTTAAAATATTGTTCTCTAAAATGAACTGTGAACTCAATTTAAATATTCCAGAAGAAATTAACTCCCGTGATCTGGTGGATAAAGTTAATAACACCTCAAAATTGTATGTTGAAAACCGTTGGAAACAAAACATTTAATGATAACAGAAACAATCCAAATTCTCAAAATAAACTGCGTACTTATCGAACTTTTAAATCTAGCTTCGGTACAGCCAGTTACATGACCACTTGCATGAAGAAATGTAATAGACGTGCTTTGGCCCTTTTCAGATCGGGTTGTGCACCCATTGCCATAGAAACGGGCGTTATAACAATACTCCAGTTAATGAGAGGAAATGTAATCTGTGTAATCTGGATTATATTGAAAATGAATTGCACTGTTTTATTGAATGTTCAGTATACACTTCTTTCAGAACCCAACTGTTTAATGATCTTGCTAAATTTAATCCATCCTTCTCTGACCTAAGTAATATTGAAAAATTTACATACTTGATGAGTGATGGCAATCACTGTTATATGGTTGCAAAATTCGCCAATCAGATTCTTTCATTACGGCAGTCTATTTTGTTTAATCACTAATGTTGAGATTTGTGTTTTGTTTTTTTTTTTTATTATATGCTCTATTTGTAGACTTTTTCCTTTCTTTCATGTTGCGTGGTAGTACACAAAAACAAAAAAAGGGAAAAAAAAGTGGAAAAGGAAAAGAAAAAAAAAAACAAGTTATGAGCCCTTGAAGCTTTTTTCATGTATTTTTTAAGATGTGTCACTCATAAGCCAGTATTGGCTGGTCTTATTGTATTATAAGAGTGTGACGTTAATAAAGACAAAACTAAACTAAACTACATACCAAATTATAATTATCATACGTGTTTATGAGATGTTCCTCAGTTTCTAAGATCCTTCTTACTGCTTGCCAGTCTTCTCTCTCAATTGCCAGGAATAATTTGTTCCTGTAAGAACAATAAACAAAGTATATTATCACTATATCCTTCAATTTGAATTTTAGATGACATACTTTTACCTAACAACCACTGTATTTTGTTAAAATAAACCAAGTGATTCATGAATGTTAATTATGAACCTCATTATTATTGTATTTTATTGTCAATAATTTCATCATCATTGCCTTCGTCGTCATCATATTTGTTGTCATCATCACTATAGTCGTCGTTCTCGTTAATAGATTACCATCGTCTAACATCTTGATATCTTAAGAATTATTTTAGAAAGTCACTATATTTTGCCAAAAATATATACTATTGATTTTCATGAACGCAAAACTAACAATTATTATACATAATCAATACGCCCAATCATAATTAACCTTGTGCTCATTATACAAGATTAATGTATACATTTAGTGCGTGCATTACATATCCAAACACTAATCATTTTGGGAATATAATTATTCGCTCGTTTATACTTTAATATATCAAATTATATATTCTGTAATACTCACTCGCTACTACGGAGATGCTCCATATTCACGCTGCTCAATGAATATGTGTTACGTTCGTGTGTGGTTATGTCGTGTTGAGTAGTGAGACGCTGTGAATTACATAATATTCATAAGTTGTATGGTTGGCTGTTCTCATCACGTGATGACTCTGAAATGTATTGCTTTCAACCTGCTGTATGGAATTGTATATTAAGACAATCATCCAATCAGAATAAGGAACTCGTTTAAGACTGGTGTAACAATAGCCAATAAAGCAAACAAGCACAAAGAATTATGCAAAAAGATTGTAGCTTTGACTCAACGCACGTTGGTTTAGTATCAAAAATGTTGTTGTTGTTATTGTGGCATATTAAACACAATAATATAATTAGGCCTACATAACCCATTAAGTACGAACTTAACAGAGATTGGAATAGCACAAGCAAAACTACAAACGTTTTCTAGACACGTGTCCCAGTCACGAGGGTTGGCTATACTCAACTCATAATTAACTGAATATTTTTTATGTTTATTGTAACTAAACTTTTTTTTAATATTTTGCTTAATGTTTGTTGTTTTTCGAATATTGTAGACTATACCATTTTTAATTTTGTCCTGTATTCTGTAGTGATTTTTTTATGGTTTGCACAACAACGAAGTAATTTCTTGTACTGTATTCTACTTTCACAAGACCAATCAAAGTTCTGTATTCTGTGTCCTGTAATGGTATAATATAGGTTTCCCTCTTTTCGAGGAAAATACTACGCCTAGGTGAATAGGGTGTTACATTTACAAAAGAGGTCATATTTAATAATCTTGTGACATGTACAATAAAAGGTGAAGTAAATGAAGGATCAGGTGGAAAATTCCTTTAAAAATGAAAAAAAATATATATAATTACATTGTTTATAGTTTGGCGAATAGCCTAATATATTAATTTTATTTAAGTAGACTTATAATCTTGGCCTAAAGTAAGTCCAAAAATATTTCTAGGCCTACTGCTAGTAGTAGCTATAGAGGCTGTATGTAGAGCCTCAGCTAAACAGTTAAAATGGCATAGGGCAGTTGCGTAACGATGGGGCCGGGGGCCCAGTGGCTTTCTGAGATTGGCTGCCCCGGTCTCCAATTGATTCTATTGTGAGATTTCAGATGTGCTCGTTTGTTAATTATATTTTTCATTAATGTTTTTAACGACCAAAATCAATGATATGATATTATTGGTGGAACCAGAAATTTGAAACAGAAGATGCCATGTGGGCCAAGGAGAGACACTTAACAGATGGAGGGTACGTGCCTCACTTAGCAACAGCTATATAATAACAATTTTGGTAATACAGTATATTCCAAGAATTTCAGCAATACAATATTAGAAACAAGTTACTCTTTATCCTTGTCAATGATAATTTTATGTTTCATGATGGCTTAATTAGTGTGTTAACAGACAAATTTTGTAAAACTTTAGCAAAAAGAATGTGGAAAAACCGAAGTAACATTTTAAATAGCTTAAGCTTAAGTTTATATTAACATATATTTAGTTAAGATAGTGCGATATCTGGTTGGGAAAATACACCACAGCATAACAAAATAATAGTCATAGCAAAAACAATAACAATTATGAAAAATTAATGATGATGATAATGACGATGGGGATAACGACTAAAGACGATGATGGCGACGGCTACTTAATAGCGATAGCTGACTTCAAGTGCATTTACTATTATTCAGCTAGGAACACACCTTGAGGAAAAGGTAGAAATCAACAGCAGATGAACACTATAAGCATAGCAACCTGTAGTCAACTGTTAGCACCTATTCATGAAATATAATAGGTGATGAATTCAACGTTACAGAAAACTCAAAAGATAAAATAAAATAATTCATAGCAACACAAAAGCACACATATTCTATTGTGTATTCCATAGTGTAACGCATTGAATTTGAATTTCAAGGGGTTAATCTGAAGCGGTTCACTTCACTGCTTTTGACAACGTGCACTAAAGAGTGGAACAACAAGTATTCAAAATGGAGTATTAAAAAATCAACAAAATATTCATCGAATCTCAATTTAAAAAAAAAATTATATTAGTTATTTCTTAACCAATATTTTGTTTATTATAGAATTACATCCAGTAGATGCGACTTATTCACTACTATTATATGCCTTTAGAGAATAACTTTATTCTTTAGGCAATCGTTACTGAACAAAATACATGGAATGATCCTTCTTATTTTGTGCAAATGCACGGATCGCGCAAAGGCTTCAGTTGATTTAATCAGTAACTGTACTAAAGCACGAATGATATAAAAGCTTTGAAAGCATTTTTTTTAAGTGTTTGAAATAACAAACCCTTAAAAATAACAACGATCTGGCATTTGCTAATATAAGATTTTAATATTCATTGTTTAAAAAAACAATAAATTATAATAATTTATAATAATTTTATAATAGGTCTAATGCATTGAACGTAGGATGTTAACATTTTGAGGAGCAATAATGGATTAATACAGCCTCATGTGTATTATGCTAGGACGGGGTGGATGTCTACTTTGTTGTTTGTATGTTTATGTGTAGGGCGTACAATACCTTCTCAGGGTTTCCTTCGCTGTACGTCCACTGTCTTAAATACAGATTGAATTGGATACAACAACAAAAAAACCCATATAGCTTAAAATATATACATGTGGAAAAAATACTTTAATATTTTGAACATTTGAAAACGTGTTAACAATAACACAGGATGTTTCCATTTGAGAACAGTCAAAGAAGGATTAACAACACTTCACAAATCACAATGTGATACATGTCAGGCAGACAATTTAACGAAATAATATCTGCAAACTGCAACAGCCAATAAAAAATGTATCGTTTAAAATGCTTAAATTATTATATTAACAATCCTACTAGGAGGAGAAATGTGGCTGTACGAATTTCCCTGACGAGAGCAAAGTGGGCGTGTTCGAGTGTCTCTTAAAATGTCTTGAAAGTGATCCAGGGGGCTAAGCCCCCGAAAAAACAAAAAACAAAAACAAATTTTAAAAAAATTTAAAAAAATAAGGGTTTTAAAGGCTTACCGTATTTAATCGATTTTAGAGTCTACTAATATGCCTGTGTACAAAATGCATATAGAGGTAATTATTTTTTCTCCCCGACGAATTGTGATCTTGCGCCCTCCACGATAAGGGGGTGGGGCTGGCCTTCGCTGGTGCCATTTCTGAAGCCGACCCGCATCCCCTAAATCTTTCTAAATTATGAAAAAATGGGGTAGAAATTAAAATTATATTCGAAATTAAGTGTGTGAGAATGCCATTTCCGGGCATCTAGGGTGCAATAATCATACATTTTCTTATTTCAGCTCCAACCATGGTGGCAATGGCGAATTCAAGGGAGAGGGGCAGCCAGGCTGGGTCCAGCAGGCCTAACCCCATTCCCCCTTTCATTTTTGAAAATTTTTTGTTAAAAATGAAGAATAGTCTCCCACCCCGCCTCCCCGCATATCTCCCGGAAATGACTTCTCTCGACTTGGAACCCGTGAAAATAATATTAATAGTTTAATATTATTAATAATAATAATAATAATAGTGGTAATAATAATCCTTTATTATACCATTATACAATAATAATAATAATAATAATAATAATAATAATAATAATAAATAATAATAATAATAATAATAATAATAATAATAATAATAATAATAATAATAATAATAATAATAATAATAATA